TATGAGCCAACTTCTGCCAAACTTTGCACATATACGCTACTCAAAAGGGGATAGCATAGACCAATTTATTTATCAGAAAATATCGAATTTATTATTTTATTTTCGCACTTTTCGCTCTAGGCAGCTGAAACTTTGGGTGAAGAAAATGTAGATGAGGTAACTATTCGGATAAATACTGGTCGATTTTAATTTTTTTACCGCTTTTCACCGTTCTCAGTGTTGAAAATCAGTACATAAGGGTCAGACAACTTGCTGACTGCTAGTATGAAATTCGTCCGACTGACTTTACTGAGTTTTTTTCTCACTTTCTAGTCAGAGTGCTGGGAACTGGTAATAATCAAAATGAATTTTGTTAAAATGCTGAATAAGATCGTAAAAGTTCGAGAAAAGGTTGTTTTTTTCCTACTTTTTGCTGTAGGCTACGAAGAATTTTGTAGGGTTACGTCAACATAACATGATGACCATTTTCCAAACTTGCATTTATTGAGATCAAACTTCGTTAAAAGCAAAAGTTCCTCCCATAAAAATTTATTACATACTGAGGAAAACGATTACTTGCAAAGGAAAGTGACGAAGTATAGCAAGTAAGTATCTCGAGTGCGAAAAATGCTGAGAGTAATCTGATTTGAAGCATTTCTAAACAAAGGATGGAAGGTTTTTTATGAGCATTCTATAGATTATATAGATTATAAATAATGAAATGCTCTTACATCTTATAGCTGTGGGTAGTACGATAAGAATATTTTCTAGTGCAAATGGTCTATGCACAAACTTATCAGCTGCCAAGATTATGCTTTGGTTGAACAAGTGAAACAATTTATTGCTGTAGATAAGAAGAATTGAGGATTACTCCCATACCTATAGTACGCGGTTTGGTGCCAAAATTCGAGCTCATATTTTCTTGAATCAATATTACTTTTTGAGAAATAAAGTTGTACTATTTGATTCTCATTGAACCTATTTCTCAACAGACAATTTTTCATTTATTCAATCCTGGCTAGAATATAAGCGCTGATAATATGCTTTGCA